GAGTTGACGATGGGATGTGCACTAGCCCACAAGTGTACATCGCGTCTGAAAAGGAGGGTGCTAGGATAGTAGTCCGTAGTCCACCCGGAGTTGATGATGGGATGTGCACTGGCCCACAAGTGTACATTGCGTCTGAAAAGGAGGGTGCTAGGATAGTAGTCCGTAGTCCACCCCGAGTTGACGATGGGATGTGCACTAGCCCACAAGTGTACATTGTGTCTGAAAAAGGAGGGTGCTACGATAGTAGTCCGTAGTCCACCCGGAGTTGACGATGGGATGTGCACTAGCCCACAAGTGTATATCGCGTCTGAAAAGGAGGGTGCCAGGATAGTAGTCCGTAGTCCACCYGGAGTTGACGATGGGATGTGTACTAGCCCACAAGTGTGCATCACGTCTGAAAAGGAGGGTGCTAGGATAGTAGTCCGTAGTCCACCCGGAGTTGACGATGGGTAGATTAGTATCTTGTAGTCCACCTGGAATTGATGATGGGATGTGCACTTGTGGGCAAGTGTGCATCACGTCTAAAAAGGAGGGTGCTCTACTGACCTAGCACCCTCCTTTTCAGACGTGATGCACATTTGTCGGCAAGGATTAGGGTCGCATCGTCAACTCAGGGTGGACTACAGGATAATAATCTACCACCCTCCTTTTCAGACGTGATGTTATTATTTCAAATTAAAATTACTTTTCTTTAAAATTTATTATTGTTTTAATGCCTAACTTAGAACCCCTATAGTGAACACAAACCTGTTTTTGATCTATTACATACGGTATAGAAGATTGTACTGTTTTACTGGACATAGTCAATTGTATTGCATTTCATAAATCTATATGATAAGTCATATGGGTAAGCTACTTAAAACTTTTGAAATTTTGTTTGTGTATTTCAACCTAACAAGAGATAGTATAGGACATAAAATTATATTAATGTTTTGAACATACCAAATCATGTTTCACACAACACGACTAGAATGACTAGAAAAAATAACAGTTTTATTAGAACAGCTGCATAGCATTTACAGCCCCGATAGTCAATTTGTTATAAAGCAGGGATATACTGTATCTAAGATTTTTTCAACTTAAAATACAAGACTCACATAGTAGATAGTAGCAGAATCATGTCTCACCTCAAAAACTGGTTCACTCTGTATGTTTCCAGAATCTCCTTTGCATATTCCAAACCAGTGTTGAGTTGCTCTGTGTTGTAGTCTTTATGATAAAAAATAAATATAATACAACATATATGAAAATGTGAATTAAAAGGTTAAAACATTACCCCAATACTTTTTTAAATTAATTCATTTAATAATTTGATAACATGTTTTATTGATAGTAGTAATTAACAATTTATTTGTGCTGAATTGACACTTACTGTTTAGTGATTTTACAACGAGTTTGTTTTCTTCAGGACAGCATAAGATAATCCTTGCACCCCCTTTTTTGGAAAATCTGGTGAGGACTGTAGGACCAAAATAAATATCATTAATTGAATTGAACACTAGTATGTATTTCCTTAAAATTACTACATTATCTTTCTTTGAAATATCTTAAACAGCTCTATTACAGACTGATCTATCCTTATTTGTCAAACGCTATCACAGCCAAAACCAACATTGTTAAAAAAAAAACATAGTAACCGATTATTGGCAGCAAATTCCAAAAGAGATAAAAGACCTTAGTGTCTTTGCTTAAAAACTCAAGAAGCACCTTTTACTGTGAAGCAATATTATGTACCTTCTAATATATGACCACGTTGACAGTTGTTGAAATTGTTGTTTGTCTACCGTTTGATATTATCTAATCCCCCCCCCCCCCTCCAATGTTTGTCGAATACATAAAACTTACACAAAACATGACTAGTGTCTAAATAGGAAACTATATGGGAATATTTATGCTCTAGGCATTTCCTTTCATTACAACTTATATTTAGCTTTATTTATTTGACCAAATAGGTATAATGTTCTTTCTTTTCAAATATGTAAATATATAATTTGGTGCAATTATATAAAAGGAAATGTGAATAAAAGATGCATCACATTCAAAAAAAAAAAGAAGAAAAAGAATAGTCTTACTTTCTTTGGTCTTTAAGGTGCCAGGCTTTGACAGCACCAAAAGAGGGACGTTTTCCATGGACATGGCACTAAGGGACCTATGTTGCAAATGTTATAAAGAATTTACTTCATAGTCTGTAATATATGGGTTTTGCTAGAGTATATCAGAAAATTTACCATGAGGTGACAGCAAGTTCAAAGGAAATTAGTCCATAAACGAGGATGTTAATTAACTTTAAAAAACTCATTAATAATTCATGAAGGAAACACAATAGAAATCATGACCATGAAGGAGGCTTTATATCTGATATAGATTCGTCTTCATTTGCATAAACTTTAACTTGGATTTTCTCTGTCAAACTTGGTTCATTTCGTAAAGAATTCGGTACAGTATGAGAACATACATCAGGAGTTTTTTAAGCCGTTTAATAAACTCGCAGATCGTGTTTTATCGGGTCTAAAACCACTCGGCTACGCCTCGTGTTTYATACCCGATAAAACACTCCCGCTCGTTTATTAAACAGTACATAAAATATTCCAATGAGCTCAAAAGCCCAGTGTAATATATTATTATAAACTATTGTTTAAGAAACAAGCATTATGCATTATAGTCCTATATTCAAATGCCGCAATGAGGAATTTGAAATTGTGGGAAGAGGGTTGCTTATTTTGTGCAGAGTTCATTTTTGTATCATTGACACATTTGCCCAGTTATTAAAATATTATTTGAAATATTTATGTTAATGATTTTGAAATATGTAAGCTGATCAGTGATAGCTAGTCAAATCAGTAAAAATTTATTAAGGGCAGAACATTATCAAACCTCACATGCATGTACTGCAATATCATACTTGCCATAATTTATGATATAGCAATTTATAACATGAACTCCCATCTTCT